CCTTAGCACATCCTGCTCTGCCAAATGTTTCTCTGCCCATTATCTGTGACGCATTTAAGAAAGAGTGCCCATTTAAATATCGTCTTTAATGATTTTCAGGATGCCCAAACCAATTTTGGTACTTCTAATATATGGCCACTGCTGCAATGTAAGAAACATTATAATCAATTAAGACACCAGGTGTTCCCTTAAACAGCAATGTGATGGTGGTCAGGTGATCTGTGATGGAGATTGAAGGATAAATGTAAGTCAGAACACAGGGACAAACTCCCTTAACCTCTTTGGATTATGATGTGGAGGTGCCGGTGTTGGACTGGGGTGGACAAAGTCAGTGGTCACACGACACCAGGTTATAGTCCAACAGGTTTATTTGTAATCACAAGCTTTCAGAGCTCTGCTCCTTCATCAAATGAAGTGGAGGGAAATGCACAGGCACGCAAAATTGTCATTCATATAAATCTGTTGGACTTTAGCCTGGTGTCATGTGATTTCTGACTCTTTGGAGTAGCACAACAGTTTATTTTACATCCACCCAAGAGGGCAGGTAGAGCTTCAGTGTAGCATTTAGTTTGACAGACAGTGCTTCTGACAGTGCAGCACTCCTACAGAACTGGACAAGAAATAATTGAGAGTTACAATCATTGGCGTGGGACTTAGATGATCTGATTTTTTTTCTCTTTTTCTCAGATAGTTGTGTATCTTTGGACGTCCCTTCATCAAAGGTCAGTGGATCTGGAATCTTTAAACAGTTTTCAGGCAGGAATAACTAAGTTCTAGATTACCAAGGGGACAAAAGATTGTCAGGGCATATGCAGCAATATAGAGGTGATATTAAAATCAGATCAGCCTTGACCTTTTTGATTGTTGGAGCAGGCTTGAAGGGCTGAATGGCCTACTGTTGTTCCTTGCCTGTGTGAAAGCCTTCTGACATTGAGCCAAGGTAAGGATATCACAAGATGCTGGAACATCTTGTAGAAGTTAGAAGTAACTAAAATAAAGACGTAACCAGAAAAGATCTATCCCCTAATACTTCTTTCAAGCAACAAATCAAATAGGGATAAATTTACACTTATCTCAAGGGGAAGGTTTGGAATAAAGATTCAAATGAAAGATAGCTCTGACAACAATGTGGCTCTCCCTCAGTACTGCTCTGGATTGTCAGGATGGGTTTTGTGATTATGTCATAGGAGTGACACTTAAAATCACAATTTTGTGTCTCAAAACGAGGAGGGCAATGCACTGAGTTGCTGACAACATAGATCCAAGGGATATCAGGCATTATTTGAGGGGAAATGGCAGTGTGGTGATTACATCACTGGATGAGTATTCCAGGGCTCTTGGCCTGGGCTATAATGCTCAAAGAACACTGGGTCAAATCCCATCGCAACAGCAGCTGGTGAAACAGAAATTCTTTTAATAAATCCTGGAATGGAAAGCTCGCCTCAGTACTGTTGACCATGTAAAAATCCATGTGGTTCACTAATGCTCTTTTGGGAAGGAATCTGCTATGTTTATCTAGTCAACCTGACAGGTGTCAGTGGATGTGATGGCCTAATGTATATGTTACTAGACTATTAATGCAGAGACTTTCCTAATGTTCTGAGAGCTGGGTCCCAATCCAAACACAGCAGATGGTAGAATTTGGTTTAAACAAACATTTGGAATCAAGATTCTAATGATGACCGAGAAACCATTGTTAATTGTGCGTTTCCTTTTAAAAACTAGTTCACTAATATCCTTTAAGGAAGGAAATCTGCTGTCCTTACCTGGTCTGGTCTACAGGTGACCCCAGGCCTGCAGAAATGTGGTTGACTCTTAACTGCCCTCTGGGCAATTAGGGATGGGCAATAAATGCTGGCCGAGCCAGAGCCGCCCACAACCTGTGAAGGAAGAAAATGTCCCACAAGAGTGTGATTAACTCTTCACTGCCCTCTGAAACAGGCAAATGAGAGACTGAGATCAGGGGGCAAATAGAGATGGGGTGAGGGAATAAATGAGTTAGTGGCAGCCCCCTCCTATTGAGGAAGAAATAAATAAACAAATTCCACCCTGCATCTGACAAAAGCAACATCTCTCCCACTGCAAAGGAAAATATTGGGACTTTCATGACCAACATTTCCAACAGTTTGTAAACTCTGGGGGCGTCCTGGAATTTACACAAGAATCTTGAATTTTCCAATGAATTTGAAGGAGGGTTTTGTAATAACCTGATCAGGCCATATGTTGTTGGCATCTTACTCACAGCTGGCCTCCCAGTGTAAAATGCTTTGCTCATTGCTGTTCAAAAGTGACTTGACAATGTCAAGAACCAAGCCCAGATCAAAATCTAGTGTAAAAGTGAAGCAGGATAAAGATAGAGGAACTACAGATAATACTCCTTAGGGTATTTTTCACCATGCTAAAGACACTGTATAATTCCAAGTTGCTGTTAAATTAAAATTACTTCTTACACTACCAGAAGTCTTTAATTAGTACACTAATGCTGTGCGGATGTATCCCACACTGATACTTGTGAACTGCCTTGGCTTGTTAAACTTTATTTAATTAAATGTCCGTGGAAAATCTCTTTGCATCATGACAAGTTCCATTTGTTTCTGCGCTAATCTGCCTCCAAGCTGAGGCATAATTCACACAAACCAACAAAAAGGCCTAAATAAATGAACTACTGAGGACAAATATTAAAAGGCAGTTAACCCTGTTTTTGAGTTCAATAAACATCTCCCTCTTTGTAAGAAATAGAATTAAAAGTTTGTATTACAGACAAGTGTTTGAAATTCATATCTGCATACTGCGACTCCAAAAATTGCTGGTGAGTAGAGAGATCATTGAGTAATTGAGTAATTTCTCATCCATTATCCCTGCATACCCACTGCTGCAAGTGATTAGGATTGATGTTACATATATTATCTATATTAATAGTCATTTGTTAGCACAGAACTTGAGCACTGGTGAAAAAAGTCACAATTTGTTGAAGTTTTTCATTTTGCACTCATCAGGACAACTTGCAAGAATACCAGTTCAACAGGAATCATTGATGTTGCATAAGAGGAGCGTGTCAAACTATATGATCTATATTATTGAATTACCCTCAACTTACTGCTTTTTTCTGAGATTTAGGAATAACTGAAGTACAAGCAGGCAGATCTTGTAAGAATAGGAGAAGGTGAAGTTATCTTTTGGAGTTTAAAATTTAAGGACATTAGAAAGGCAGGAAAGAGTGAGGTCTAAGACAGATTTAAAAATAAGGATGGAGGGGGGGAAACAGCCAGTAGAGATGGGCAAAAGGGTGAGCAGTAAGTAGAGCAAAAGATAAGAATAAAGCATTTTTAGCAATCTTCAGCTAGAAGTGCCAAGTAGATGATCCATCTCAGAATCCTCCAGTGGTCCTTGGCATTACAGATACCATTCTTCAGCCTATTTGATTCACTCTTGTGACATCAGTAAATGATTGTAGGCACTGAATCCTGCAAAGGCTATGGGCCTCCTAGAATTCCTACAATGTGGGAGCAGGCCATTCGATCCATCGAGTCCACACTGACCCTCTGAAAGAGTATTCCACCCACCTACCCCATTCCCCATGGCTGACCTACCTAACTTGCGCATCCCTGGACGCTCTGGGCAATTTAGCATGGCCAATCCACCTAAACTGCACATCTTTGGATTGTGGGAAGAAACCTAGTCATCTGGAGTAAACTGATGCAGACACGGGAGAATATGCAAACTCCCCACAGGCTGTTGGCCAAGGCTGGATTCAAACGCGGGTCCCTGGCGCTGTGAGGCAGCAGTGCTAACCACTGAACTACCGTGCCGCCCTGACAACGTTCCAGCAATAGCACTGAAGACTTGTGCTCCAGAATTTTCCGCTCCTCTAGCCAAGCTCTTCCAGTACAGTTACAGCACTGGCATCCACCCAAAAATACGGAAAATTGCCCAGCTATATCTGGTACACAAAAAACAGGAAAAATCCAACCTAGTTAATTACCGCTCCACCAGCCTATTCTCCATCATTAGTAAAGTGATGGAAGGTGTCATTAATAGTGCTATCAAGTAGCACTTGCTCAGCAATAACCTGCTCAGTGACACCGAGTGTGAGTTCTGCCACAGCCAATCAGCTCTTGGCCTTATTATAGCCTTGGTTTAAACATGGACAAAACAGCTGAAATCCAGAGGTGAGGCGAGAGTGACAACCCTTGCCTGTGCAGCTCCAGCAACACTCAAGAAGCTTGACACCATCCGGGACAAAGCCACCCACTTGATTGGCACCACAAACATCCAATCTCTCCACCACTGATGCTCCAGAGAAGCTGTATGCGCTATCTACAAGATGTACTGCAGAAATTCACTAAAGATTCTTAGACAGCACCTTCCAAACTCATAACAACTTCAATCTAGAAGGACAAGGGCAGCTGATACATGGCAACACCACCATCTGCAAATTCCCCTCCAAGCCTCTCATCATCCTGACTTGGAAATATATCGCTGTTCCTTCACTGTCGCTGGGTCAACATCGGGGAGGCAATGGCTTAGTGGTATTATCGCTGGACTGTTAATCCAGAAACCCGGATAATGTTCTGGAGTCCCAGGTTTGAATCCTGCCATGGCAGATGGTGGAATTCGAATTCAATCAAAATATGTGGAATTAGGAATCTAATGATGACCATGTATCTAGTGTCGATTGTCAGGAAAAACCCATCTGGTTCACTAATGTCCTTTAGGGAAGGAAACTGCCATCCTTACCTGGTCTGGCCCACATGTGACTCCAGACCCACAGCACTGTGGTTGACTCTGAACTGCCCTCTGAGCAATTTTGGATGGGTAATAAATTCTGCCCAGTCAGCGAGGCCCTCATCCTGTGAATGAATAAAGAGGAAAAAAAAGTCCTGAATTCCCTCGTTAAGGACATTGGGGGTGAACAGACAGCACATGGGATGCACTGGTTCAAGAAGGCAGCTCACCACAACCTTCTCAAGGGCAACTAGGGACAGCCAATAAATACTCACTTAGCCAGTGATGCCCATGTTCCAGAAGTGAATGAAAGAAAAGGGCTTGAGTGCAGAAACAGCAAACAATGTCCGAATTCCAAATTAATGCAGATTGTGTAGAGAGGGGGTTGGAAGGCTGTTCAGAACAATGGTAGGGATCTGTTAATGAAAATATGGCCATTATTTTTCTGCTTAGCCTCCATCAAACAGTTTTTCTTGCAGCTGGTTGCATCCAGAGAGATTAGACCTTACATCAGCAGCAAGAGCAAAAAAACAACTACCAATGCAGAGCTGAAGTTCTGATCTGCAAGGTTATCGATTTAGAATGTTTTCTCCAAAGATGCTCCCTGACCTGTGGAGTGTTTCCATTAATTCCTTGTTCTTCTTGGAGCAGGTTTGTGAAATATAGCTGCCGTGTAGAAATATGATGTCAGTAGTGGGGAAGATGCTAGAATCCATTATCAAGGATTTTATAGCAAAGCACTTCAAAAACTATGGTAGAATCAGAAACAGTCAACATGGATTTACAAATGGGCTTGCCAAACCTACTCAAATTTTTTGAGGATGTAACTAGCAGAGTTGATCGGGGGAAGCCAGTGGATGTATTTTATTTGGACTTTCAGAAGGCTTTTGATGAAGTCCCACCTAAGAAATGAATGTGTAAAATTAAAACGCATGGGATTGGGGGATGGGTTAATGAGATGGAAGTAGGGTACATGGAATTTTTCTGAATCGCAAGCAGAGTGATTCCAGAGCAATCTCCCAGCCTCATGAACCTCAAAGTTAAGCTCGGCATGGTCTGGAGCGAAGGCCTAGTGCAGACTGAAAGCTAGGTACCTGCTTGGTCTGGGTTGGAAGACTTTTGATCTAAACTTTTATTTATGCAATGCCAGACTTTTTATTTCTCTGTTTTTGCTAAGATCTTTTTTATTGCAAAAAATCACTTTATTCATAAAGAATAATTTTTATGTACATACACAGTAAATGAAGCCATTTAGATTGATACCATCTTTACTTTTGGTCTTCTTGGCTGAGGAAGGATGTTCTTGCTATAGTGGGAGTGCAGAGAAGGTTTCCCAAATTGATTCCTGGAATAGCAGGACTGATGTATGAGGAGAGATTGAGTTGGTTGAGATTGTATTCACTATAGTTTAGACCAATAGAGGGAGGGGGATCTCACAGATGCATAAAATTCTAACAGGACTAGACAGGTTAGATGCAGGAAAGATGTTCTTGATGCAGAGTCCAGAACCAGGGATCATAGTTTAAGGATAAGGGGAAAACCTTTTAGGAGTGAGATGAGGAGAAATTCCTTCACCCAGACAGTGATGAACCTGTGAAATTCACTATCACAGAAAGTGGTTGAGGCGAAGACATTGTGTGTTTTCAAGAAGGAGGTAGATATAGTTCTTGTGGCTAAAGGGATCAAGGGATACGTAGGGAGGGCGGGATTAGGATAGTAAGCTTAATGATCGTCCATGATCATATTTAGTGATGGAGTAGGTTTAAGTGATCAAATGGCCTACTCCTGCTCCTGTATTCTATGTTTTTATGTCATTTGAAGTTAATCATTGTATTTGTTCCTGTGCGATATTAATCTATGCATGCTGAGGTCAGTAAGAGACTCATTAAAAGTGGGCAGTTTCCCTGGCTAGGAGCTGCTGAAAGAGAGCTGCATTAACTCAAAGTGTGAAAATGCCCAGCAATCTCTATGTTCATCTCCTTAACAGATTGTATGAATTCATGCTCATGCGCAGTATCACTCTCTCCCTGATGGTCTAGTATTCCATGGAACACGGTCTGCCACAGGGATGAAAATGTGGCCAGCAGTATTGGAATACGTAAGGAAAATATAAGGATATATGACTGTCCATATTGTCATTGAGGATCAGGGATATTTTTGCACACAGCGACATGAACTAATTGAGACCAACTGTGTGAAAAAACACATTGTATGTTTCTGAAGAGAAGCTTTAAAGACCCGACAGAATTTCATCAGAAACTTGATTCACTTGCCACGAACTCCACAAATCCTGTGACTATTCTTTCAAATAGAACAAAGCCAGTCACTGCTTCTGTATCCTACTTGACCGAGATCTAGCTTCCTCACCCTTACTGGAAACAAATGTTCCGTTAATTCACAGGCAATAGTCAGTCAAAGAAAGGCAGTCTGCTCTTGCTTGTTAGATCGATCAACCTTTGACCATTTAGCATTGCAAGTAATATTAAAGTGGTTCACATAAATATAGAAACAGAATGAAACAGCACATATGGTCTTTAAACCAAGGAATCAGATCAACACTTCAAAGGTGAAAGGCAGGATGTTTAGAGGGGATTTGAGGAAAATGTATTTTCAGCCAGAGGTTGGTGGGTGCCTGGAATCCATTGCCTGGGAGGGTAGTTGAGGCAGGAAACTTCACAAGCTATAATAAAATTACTTGGATAAGTATTTGAGTGTTACAGCATTCAAGGCTATGGGCCTAATGTGGGAATGTGGGACTAATGTAGATTTAGTGTAACTTTGGCTGTACAGACTTGGGGCCTCTTATAGGCCCTATGTTTCTGTCATCAAGGCAGCAAAGTGATCAGCTCTCACATTAAACATGGGTGTTCTGGAGAGATTAGCGTGCATGGATGGACATTTATTTGGCTTTGCCTATACCTGTTGAATGTCGGATCTGCTGCAATTCTTAAATGTTTCCTGCTCATTGGAGCAGGAGTGAACATTAGGCAGGAATTCCGTTTTCTCCATTAGTTTAGGAACAAACTACTGCAGATACTGGAACCTGTACTAAAAACAACGAATGCTGGAGATCACAGCAGATCAGGCAGCAACCATGGAGAGACAGCAAGCCAACAATGAAGAGCTCTGATGAAGAATTTTCTAGACTCAAAACATTCGATTGCGTTTCTCCATGGATGCTGCCTGATCCGCTGTGATCAGCAGCATTTATTGTCCATTAGTTTCACAAGTTTCAATGATGGAACAGCTATCCAGATTAATTCAGCCTCTCCCTGATGATAAAAAACAGGTACAGTTACCTAACCTGGTTTCTTATTAGAATGTGTTACTGTCATTTATTTTATTTCTTTTATGTATTCATTTTGCGGGATGTGGGCATTGCTGGCAGGCCAGCATTCATTGCCCGTCCCTAGTTGCCCTTGAGAGGATTCTGGTGAGCTGCCTTCTTGAACCGCTGCAGTCTATCTGCTGTGGATTGTCCCCCAATGCTTTTAGGGAGGGAATTAACTGGGTTCAGAATTAAAATGCCCTTTTTGAAATGCGTCAGCAATCTTGATCTTTTGGGCATTTCAAATTCAAATTTGCATCATTCTGCGTCTGATTGAAGAATTGTTCTCCTTGAACAAGGGAAAGAACATAACAACTCAAAGCAGAAGTAGACCATTCAGCCCTTCAAGCCTGCTCTGCTATTTGATATGATCATGGCTGATCTCATCTTGGTCTCAACTCACATTCCCTCCCGTTCTCCATAACTTTTTACGAATTAAATGGATAAAGGGAAAATAAATAGGGATATAAATAGGGAGTATTATTTCCACATGCAAACAGTGCCATGTTAATGATAGCGGCCTAATAAGCAAGTGCTTAGTATTGATTGATGATCTCCATGTGTTAGTTATTTAAAACAGTAAAACACATTATAAGTTAAGAAGTAGACATTGCAACAGACCAATTGATTTCTATGAGTGCAGCTTGCAAATCCACAGAAGACTATGTACCAGACAGAGTTACAGCTTTGTATGGACACTGCAATATGAAGTTCTTAAAGGCAAAGTTCCTTAAGGGAAAATACCACATCTAACATCCCTTTTCTTTCTGAAAAAAACTGTTCAAACGTTTAGAATAACAAGTCACCTGTAAGTCTCTATGACATGTAGATAATTTGCTGATACATCCCAATCTTGTGATAGTTATTCTGCCTGAAGATGATGTTGAATGTCACAGCTGTCAGAGACAAAAACAGAAATTTCTGGAAAAGCTCAGCAGTTATGGCAGCATCTGTGGGGAGAAATCAGAGTTAATGTTTAGGAACGTGTGATGCTTTCTCAGAATAGTCATCAGTGAAATTGTTTTGATTCCTATTTGTATTGTCAAGTTTTTTTTTCCAAAATGGATTGAAGTTGCTCTTCAAGAATTTTCTTATCTTGGTACAGAACATTTCGGTTTCTTTCCTGATTAGTCAATGGCTGACTGATCTCATTGTTCAAGCTGGTTTGAGTGAATCAAATCTTCTTGGCATTTTCTGCCTTTTCCCTAAGAGCTCCGAGCTCATTTTGAAGCTTTTAGTTATACACCCTGGGTTATTTTATTTCTTGCAAAAAATTGGCTTTCTATTGATTCTAATATTTTTTGCCTTGAAAATCAGATTATTATTCTGATAATAATAATAATTTGTCTAATACTCAATTTTTTAAAATCCTTTTTGTTTTCTTTGCAGTTTGGACAACTTCCAGTTTCTGTTTTGAAAGTGATTTGGTTCCCTGTTTGAGTTCTTTTACTAGATGGTCATTTATTTCTGAAAGGACCATCTCATGAGCAATTTTCAATTTCTTGTGTATGTTCTGCATCTCGACCTGTTGCTTTGAGCTTAAGCCAATGTTTAACATAACATAAGAACTAGGAGCAGGAGTAGGCCCTTCGAGCCTGCTCCGCCATTCAATAAGATCATGGCTGATCTTTTCGTGGACTCAGATCCACTTCCCCGCGTTCTCACCGTATCCCTTAATTCCTTTATTGTTCAAAAAAAATCTACCTTTTTTTTAAAAACGTTTACTGAAGTAGCGTCAACTACTTCACTGGGCAAGGAATTCCATAGATTAACAACCCTCTGGGTGAAGAAATTCCTTCCCAATTCAGTCCTAAATCTGCTCCCTCGAATCTTGAGGCTATGCCCTCTTGTCCTAGCTTCACCTGCCAGTGGAAACATCCTCTCTACTTCTATCTTATCTATTCCCTTCATAATTTTATATGTTTCTATAAGATCCCCCCTCAATCTTCTGAATTCCAATGAATATAATCCCAATCTACTCAGTCTCTCCTCATAAACCAACCCCCTCAACTCCGGAATCAACCTAGTGAACCTCCTTTGCACCCCCTCCAGTGCCAATACATCCTTTCTCAAGTAAGGAGACCAAAACTGCACACAGTACTCCAGGTGTGGCCTCTTGCTGAGCCTAATGTGTTTTACGTGTGGGTTGCTGTAGATCTCCCTCTAAGCCAATAATCTTTATGTTGGATCAATGATGCATAGCTTGTAGTTCATCCTGTTTCCTTTCATCTCTTCATTCATCTCTGTGAGCTGAGTGGAGATATGCCCTAAAGACTTCATGAAATCAGAGATAGCAGTCTCAATCTTAACCTGAGGTAGTTATTCAGCCTTTTCCTCTTGAACTTTCACTGTTCCTTTCAAAGCACAGAGCTGAGATAGCAGTCAAGTATTCCATTCTTCTGTTACATTCAAATCTGCAAATGTTTAGTCATAGAATCCCTACAGTGTGGAAGCAGGCCATTCTGCCCTTTGAAACTGCACTGAGCCTGCAAAGAGCATTCAACTCAGACCTATCCCATCCCTGTATTTCCCATGGCTAACCCATCTACCCTGTACATCTATGGGCAATTTATCATGGCCAATCCACCTAACCTGCACATCTTTGTGACTGTGGGAGGAAACTGGAGCACCTGGAGGAAACCCATGTGGGGAGAATGTGCAAACTCCACACAGACAGTCGCCTGAGGGTGGAATTGAACCTGGCATTGTGAGGGAGCAGTGCTAACCACTGAGCCACTGTGCTGCCTACAGTTTTCTCAAATGGTTTCCTGCAGTTTCTGTTGTGTCTGTTATGTCTGAGGCATTCCATAGATTGTGACTGCTGGTATATTAGCAATTGCTAGTCCAGCAGTGTATAGCACATCTACGATGTCCGGGTGGATTGAATGTACTTGCTCTCCAACACTAAACATCATGCATGTGGAATTGGCAAACCATTGCATACCAAAGGTTTTATTTTCATAGGTTTTGTTGTGGCTTCCCGTATCTGTGGGTAATTCAATGGTTTAGTATATTGGCACTTGCCCCTTCTCAATCTTTGCCAATAATAAATAGATACCAGTTTTCAGAGCACAGAGAATTTGAATTTTTGCAAGACTTCAGGCTATGTAATGATGACATGGATTTTTTTCCATGAGATTGATAGTGTAAAACATGTGTTCAGCACTCTGTTTCATCATGCACATAGTAGGATTCTGGTTTGTCAATCATCCCATGTATTTGTCTCTGGTGGGATGCCAAATGATGTTTACTGTATCTTGAATGTTCTCCTTTTGTACTGTTGGTTTAGGTTAGTGCACGGCTCTTTCTAGCTGCATCAGCTCTTGTTCTCATGCATTGCATCCTGCCACATGCCTTGCAAAACTGTCTGAAAGCTAGGTATTTTCTTGGTGCATGTAGAAAGCCACAACTTTCATATGACTAGTTCTATTGAGGTGTTGTAATAATTTTGTCAACCATTGAAAATGCACGCAGGATCTGCAAACTTTGCAGATCTTTGAGCGTCACTTCAAGCTTAGGCCCATACTTAAATAGATTTCAGTGTTATCGGTTCATTCTGGGAAGTTTTATGAGGGAACGTGCTATCTCCAACTTAATGATGCTTCAAATCTTAGCTTCCCATCTGAAAAACAGATCATGAGCACTTCTTTTTTTCCTGCATCTGCTCACAAAGTAGTTCATATACTCTATAGACTTCTGTCAAAATAATTTAAACTCTTGTTGATGAATTGGGGTTTAATATAGAGGCTTATAGAGTTTTAACACCTTGCTTTAAAACTAGAACGCACCATCTTGAATGAAAACAGAAATTGCTGGAAAAACTCAGCAGGTCTGGCAGCATTTGTGTAAAGAATGTAGAATAAAAATTTCAAGTCTACGAATTGTAGCTAGGAAAAGGTTGGTATATATGCTAAAGAAGGGGTGGGGGCAGAAGGAAGGAGTAAACTATAGATGGAAATGGAGCCTAGAGAGAGAATAACTGATCTAGCATCCACTGCCATTTGTGGACAAGAGTTCCAAATATCTGCCACCCTTAGTGTGTAGAAGTGCTCCCTAATATCACTTCTGAACAGTCTGACTCTAATTCTCAGACTATGACATCTCGTTCTAGAATCCCGAACCAGTGGAAATAGTTTATCTTTATCTACCCTGATTCTTTTCCTTTTCCTGGGGATTCAATGGCCTAGTGGTATTATCGCTGGACTGTTAATTCAGAGACCCAGATAACATTCTGGGCACCCGAGTTCAAATCCTGCCATGGCAAATGGTGGAATTTGAATTCAATAAAATATCTGGAATTAAGAGTCTAATGATGATCATGAATCCATTACTGGTTGTTGGAAAAACCCATTTGGTTCACTAATGTCCTTGAGGGAAGGAAACTGCCATCCTTACCTGGTCGGGCCTACATGTGACTCCAGACCTACAGCAATGTGGTTGACTGTGAACTGCCCTCTGGGGCAATTAGGGATGGGCAATAAATGCTGCCTTGCCAGCAATGCCCTTATCCTGTGAATAAATAAACAAAAATCTTGAAGACTTTAATCACATCACCCTTAACTTTTTAAATTCCAGAGAAAATAGGTCAACCTATCCTCTACACCATGAATATCAACTTCCTCCATCTCAGTCATATTGGCCATCTCCACTCCTGTTTTAGCTCATCTTCTGACAAAACCCCCACAGCTGCCTTGACTTGCTTGAGACTTGAAATGTACAGTGCGGTCCTGATCACTGTCCCATCCACTTCTCTCCCATAAGTTTATGCTCGTCTGGAACTCAATTGTTCATAACTTAATTACCATCATCCACTCGTGATCAGTGATCTATCTTGGCTTCTGATTGCAGGCTTAGCTGATGAAACTTGGTGGTGAACTTTGTCTCTCAGCATTGTGTTTAATATACTAATCTATCCACATGCTAAATGTTTAAGCCATTCAAACCACAGAGGAATCTTAAGAAATGAATAAGACATGACAGTGCAGAACTGGTTGAGAAATTAATCTGAGATGTTGAAAGGATTTGAGCTGGTGGAGGTGCAGGTAAAAAATTAAAGATTGACAAGTTGTGTGACTCTGGGAAGAGCCTAAGACTGTGAAGTTATGCGATATTCTGATAGACAAATGGAACTGGAGAATAAGGGTCCAGAGAGAGATCAAGGCAATCAGACATCATTACCATTCCATGGAGAGCAGTTCCTGACAGTCTCAGAAGTCTGAAACCCAACAATGATCTCTATTCGTCTCCAATTAAATGATTGTCACAATTAACAAGCAATTAGGATCAAAGAATACAAGTTAAATAGACTACAACATCTAACAGAGACTGTTGAAATTCTTGTCCTCCTGGTTTAAGCAATACTTAGGGCCTGATGGTGTGATCAGGTGAGTGGTCACTGTCCAGTCAAACTGAAATATCTGAACAAAGATGTGTGTGTGTCATTAAAGTGGGGATGACAAGGATTTATGTAAGAAGTGTTTCATATTACATAATTTCTTACATCAGTGATGGGCAAAATATTGGGAAGGGCTCTAAGAGATAGGATTTATGATCACTTGGAAAGGCACAGTTTGATTCGTGATAGTCATCATGGATTTGTGAGGGGTAGATCATGCCTCACAAACCTTATTGAATTCTTTGAAGAGGTGACCAAACACGTGGATGAAGGTAGAGCAGTGGATGTGGTATACTTGGATTTAAGTAAGGCATTTGATAAGGTTCCCCATGGTAGGCTCATGTAGAAGGTAAGGAGGCATGGGATAGGGGGAAATGTGGCAGATTGGATTCAGAATTGGCTGACCCTTAGAAGACAAAAGGTGGTAGTGGACAGAAAATATTCAACATGGTGCTCAGTTACGAGTCGTGTACCACAAGGATCTGTTCTGGGTCCTCTTCTATTTGTGATTTTTGTAAATGATTTGGATGAAGGAGTGGAAGGGTGGATTAGTAAGTTTGCGGACGATACAAAGGTGGGTCGCGCTGTGGACAGTGCGGAGGGCTGTTCTAGGTTACAAAGGGACATTGATAGAATGCAGAGCTGGGCTGAGAAGTGGCAGATGGAGTTTAACCCTGAAAAGTGTGAGGTGATTCATTTTGGAAGGACAAATTTGAAAGCAGAATACAGGGTTAACGGAAAGATTCTTGGCAGTGTGGAAGAGCAGAGGGATCTTGGGGTTCATGTTCACAGTTCCCTGAGAGCTGCCACCCAGGTGGATAGAGTTGTTAAGAAGGCGTATGGTGTGTTAGCTTTCATTAATAGAGGGATCGAGTTCAAGAGCCGTGAATTTATGCTCCAGCTGTACAAAAGCCTGGTTCGGCCACATCTGGAGTATTGTGTCCAGTTCTGGTCACCTCATTACAGGAAAGATGTGGAGGTGTTGGAAAAGATGCAGAGGAGATTTACCAGGATGTTGCCTGGAATGGAGGGAAGGTCTTACGAGGAAAGGTTGAGAGAGCTAGGGCTTTTCTCTTTAGAACGACGAAGGATGAGAGGCGACTTGGTAGAGGTGTACAAAATGATCAGAGGTATAGATAGAGTGGACAGCCAGAGACTTTTTACTAGGGTGGAGGCATTTATTACGAGGGGGCATAGCTTTAAAGTGAGTGGAGGTAGATACAGGGGAGACATCAGAGGTAGGTTCTTTACTTAGGGAGTGTTAGGGGCGTAGGTTCTACTCAGGGAGTGTTAGAGGCATGGAATGCATTGCCGGAGAGGGTAGTGGAGTCGGCCTCATTAGGGGCATTTAAGCGGCTATTAGATAGGCATATGGATGATAGTATAAGGTAGGAGTGGAGGTTAGATAGACCTTAAGATTAGGATAAAAGTTCGGCACAACATCGTGGGCCGAAGGGCCTGTACTGTGCTGTACTGTTCTGAAGTTCCAGAAGACTAGAGGTTGGCTAACATGGTGCCAGTATTTAAGAAAGGTAGTTAGGAAAAGCCAGGGAACTATAGACCAGTGAGCCTGACATCAGTGGCAGTGAGTTGGTGGAAGGGATTCTAAGGGACAGAATTTGCATGTTATTGGAAAGACGAAGACTGATTAGGGAGAGTCAACATGGCTTTGTGCATGGGAAATCGTGTCTCACTAACTTGATTGAGTTTTTTGAAGAAGTCACAAAAAAGATTGATGAAGGTAATGCTGTAGACATTATCCATATGGACTTCAGCAAGATGTTCGACAAGGTTCCACATGATAGACTGGTTAGCAAGTTTACATCACATGGAATACAGGGGAAGCCAGTCAATTGGATATAAAATTGGCTTGAAGGTAGAACACAGAGAGTGGTGGTGGATGGTTGATTTCCAGACTGGAGGTCTGTGCCACAAGGTTCAGTGCTGGGTCCACTACTTTTCATCATTTATTTAAATAATTTGGATGTGAACATAGGAGGTACAATTAATAAGTTTGCAGATGGCACCAAAATTGGAGGTGTAGTGGACAGTGAAGAAGGTTACCTCAGACTACAACAGGACTTTGATTAGGTAGACCAATGGGCCGAGTAATGGCAGATGGAGTTTAATTTAGATAAATGTGAGGTGCTGCATTTTGGTAAGACAAACCAGGGCAGGACTTATTCACTTAATGGTAAAGTCCTGGCGACTGTTGCCGAACAAAGAGACCTTGGAGAGCTGGTTCATAGTTCCTTGAAAGTGGAGTCACAGATGGACAGGGTGGTGAAGAAAGCATTTGGCACGCTTGCTTTCATTGTTCAGGGCATTGAGTATAGGAGTTGGAATATGATGTTACGACTGTACAGGGCATTGGTTAGGCCTATTTTAGAATACTGTATTCAATTCTAGTCTCCCTGCCATAGTAAAGATGTTGTTAAACTTGAAAGGGTTCAGAAAAGATTTACAAGGATGTTGCCTGGGTTGAAGGACTTGAGTTATGGGGAGAGGCTGGGGCTATTTTTCTTTGAGCATCGGAGGATGAGGGGTGACCTTGGAGAGGTTTATAAAATCATGAGGGGCATGGATGGGGTGAATAGCCAAGGTCTTTTTTCCCAGGTTAAGGGAGTACAAAACTGGAGGACACAGGGTTTAAAGTGACAGGGGAAAGGTTTAAAAGGGACCTCAGGGGCAGCTTTTTCACACAGACGGGTGCGTGTATGGAACCAGCCGAGGAGGTGATGGAGGTTGGTACAATTACAAAATTTAAGAGGCAACTGAATGGGTAGATGAATAGGAAGGGTTTAGAGGGATATGGGCCAAATGCTGGCAAAAGGGACGAGGTTAATTTAGGATATCTGTCTGGCATGGACTGGAGGGTCGTTTCTGAGCTGTATAACTCTATGACTCTATGACTGCAGACTTGTGATGCCTAATTTTATGAATTGTTTTTTAAAGAGGCATCGACCATGTGAAGAGCATCCCACCCAGACCCCTACCCTATCCCAGTATTTCCCGTGGCTAATCCTATCCAGCCTGCCCATATCCTGGACTCTATGGACAATTTAGCATGGCCTGTCCATGTAGCCTGCACATCTTTGGACTGTGGGAGGAAACTGGAGAACCCGGCAGAAAGACACACAGAAAAACACTAAATTCCTCATAGACAGTCACCCAAGGAATGAAACCGGGGTCCCTGTTTCCCTGAAGCAGCAGTGCTAACTGCTGAGCTATCATACCGCCTCAACTGCTTTCATCAAAGACCACTCTGAGCTCTTGTAACATTTACTGAATGTTATACATACTCTTACTGACTCCTGGTATACGTGACTCAGTCAGGTTTAAGTATGTTTTCTTAGGCCAGTTCTTTCCCATTAGGGAAGCTTTGTTTCCACCGAACTTATAGTTAGATACTATACACAAAGCATCCAGTCAAATCACGGTGAGGAAACATTTACTTTATCCACATATTTTATTTTGTTTCGACCAAATATGTCACCTTTGTCTGAAACTGCAGCAGCTCTGTTTATTTGGCTTGTATTTCCCTATTGTCTCCAAACTTGCCTTTTGTGCCTTATTGTTCCCATTCACATACACACTGCAATCCTGAGTTGTTCAAAAGCCTGACATGCATAAACAAAGCAATCTTTCTTCAAAATCAAAGTCAGGGGTTCCATAAAGTGGGTTGCAATGGTCTTCAATTCTTACCTTCTCAGAACAAAGTGTGAAAAAGAATTCAAACATTGCTAAAAAGAGACAGAAATTTGACACCCTCCAAGAGAAAGAAGCCACCTTGATTGGTACCATGTCCATAAACATCCACTCTCTCTACCACTGATGCTCAGTAGTAGCAGTGTGTACAGTCTACAAGATGCACTGCAGGAATCCACCAAAGGTCCTTAGACAGCACTTTCCAAATCCATGACCATTTCCATCTAGAAAGACAAAGACAGCAGAGACATGGGAACACCACCACTTTCAAGTTCCCCTCCAAGCCACTCACCATCCTGACTTTGAAATATATTGCCGTTCCTTCACTGTCACTGGATCAAAAT